TGAAGAATGATTGTTGAGTGGACGACTTAAGATAGAGGTTTATTACATAAGCATGAATGTCGTAGATGAATATATAAGTATACAGTTTTATTATAGTTTTACGTATTGTAAGTTTTTTTTTATTGATTTATATATATTTAATATTTGTATGTATCTTTTATGTCAAAATATATATAATATATACACATTTTGCATTTATTTTTTGGATACGTATTTTTTATTGTTCTGCTTATACCTATTGATCCCATCTCTAAATTTTCAGTAACCTATGTCTAAAAATGAATATTGCCTGAACGGCTGGACCGATTTCGCTAAGTCTTTTTTTTGTTGTGTTTGTTACTGTCAGGAGAAGGTTCTTATGAAAAAAAAAACCTAAGAAAGTTGCCCGGAAAATCAGAGAAATTTAAGAATACAAAACGACCACATACTTGGCGTTTGACATCACTGTCAGTTATTTCACATAACTGTCAGCGACTGACAGAATGTGCGGTGCAAATATCACTCAGAGATGCATCGATCGGAATTCTATCGATATAAAATAATTCGAAGTGGTCTGTGTTCTGTCGAAAATGCCAGACGCGGATCGCGATTTCGATCTTTTTGGATTTTATCAGCGCATCGCAGACAGCTCCGACAGAACACAGGCCAACTTTTACCTGCTGTCTTAACAGTGCGTTTTAGAAAATACCACAAATGGCGCGGTAAACGCTACGATGCTACATTTTAGGATTACGTATGCTCCAACAAGGTTGATATACTAGCTGACCCGACAGACGTCCTGTCTTGATTATGTTTATTGAATTCGAATTGGTATAGTTAATAAAAAAAAAATGAATTTGTTAGCATGCCGATACGGGAACAAGCGACACACAACTGGTCATGTGAAAAACATGAATTTTCGGGATTGATGCCACAAACTTTTAGCTACAGCTTTTGGGATTTATATTTATCTAATGTTCCACGCAATATTCTTAAGTTTTTCTTTCATAAGAACAAATACAACCAAAAAGGAATTATCGAAATTGGTCCAGGCGTTCACGCGTGATGCCATGACCAAGGGAAATAGGGATTTATTTTTACACATCGTACAGCATTTGAATAATAAACTCTATGCTCTGAATAATTATTTCTTTGTATTAATTGTACCAGTTCGAACTCAATATTCACATTTAACATAATAATAAAACCTAGAAGACTTTTTCAGAATAATTGCATATTCCTGCCTGGATAAATGCTTTAATCGGGTAACACTAAATCACCAAACCTAACTCAGTGTTCTCCGATTTTTTTATAAAATAAAGCTGTCTATAGTTAAATTAATCCCATATAATGCACGTAAATGTCTATTACATAACAAGCCTCAAAATCAAATTGGCAATATAAAATTGAATTATGTTGCTAAGATACAATAATTCACTAATTATTTATTTATACTGAAGACGAAAGTTGTTTTGTATTTCGTTCTTTCCTTTACGGTTTATATATTGCTTTTATTAATTGGTTTTGTTAAACTGAAAGAATGGTAAGTCACTTACTACCCCAAAAAATTCAAGTCGTAAAAAAATTTACTTTTGTAGCGTGAATGTATATCAATTCACTGCGGCCAAGCTGGAGTTCAAATAGGAAATGCTTGCTGGGAACTGTACTGTTTGGAGCATGGAATACAACCTGATGGACAGATGCCTTCAGACAAAACCGTTGGAGGAGGTGACGACAGTTGTAACACATTCTTCAGTGAAACAGGGGCTGGTAAACATGTCCCCAGGGCAGTGATGATGGATTTAGAACCCACTGTAGTTGACGAAGTACGAACTGGAACATACCGTCAATTGTTCTTACAGTTTGATATGTTGAATATTTTTTATAAAAATTTCCGTAAATTCTCGACTTGATGCTTGGTAGGCTTTACAGTCCGTGTTGTAGATGTCTTGTGCCTATTATTAGATACTTTCAGTGCTCTTGTGCCGCCGTTCCATCCCCCTTCAAATGTCGAAAGGGAATTATAACCTTAAATGTACTTTATGCTAAAATAGAACACGTCTTCATTTAAGCATTGGTAGAAACAGTCCTACCGCTCCCAGAAGAGTAAGAAAATGTGCGCTAATAGTTACGGATGTTTCTATTATTTTTTATAATAAGGTGGAGAACGTTCGGGTATCACAAACATAATGTAAAATTCTCATGGAAATATCGCCTGCAACCAGATAGGAACTGTCATGTATGCGTAACTAGGAAACGTGGTAGTAAACAGTATTAGAAAAAGTTTTTTTTTTTACGAAGTACGAAGTTTGGGTTCCTCTTTTTGTTACAATTTGTTTTATTTTTTTTTATAATCAACTAAAACCATGGTAAGTGTTTGTAATCTAAACTATCCCCATTACGTTCAAAGCATCGTTGTTAAAATTCCAGCGGGAATGTATATCTGTTCACTGTGGTCAAGCTGGAGTTCAAATTGGCAATGCCTGCTGGGAACTTTATTGCCTGGAACATGGAATTCAACCTGATGGACAAATGCCTTCAGATAAAACCGTTGGCGGAGGTGATGATAGCTTTAACACCTTCTTCAGCGAAACAGGTGCGGGAAAGCATGTTCCCAGGGCGGTATTTCTCGACTTGGAACCAACAGTAATCGATGAAGTGCGTACTGGTACTTACCGTCAGTTGTTCCACCCAGAACAATTGATTAGTGGAAAAGAAGACGCAGCTAACAATTATGCTAGAGGCCATTACACAATTGGAAAGGAAATAGTTGATCTTGTTCTAGATCGTCTTCGAAAATTAGCAGACCAATGTACTGGACTTCAAGGATTTCTTATATTTCACTCATTTGGAGGTGGCACTGGTTCAGGATTTACGTCACTCCTGATGGAGAGATTATCTGTTGATTACGGAAAGAAATCTAAACTAGAATTTGCAATCTATCCAGCCCCACAAATTTCTACCGCTGTTGTGGAACCTTACAACTCTATTTTAGTTACACATACAACATTGGAACACTCAGATGCGGCTTTTATGGTCGACAACGAAGCACTGTACGATATTTGTCGAAGAAATTTAGACATAGAACGACCAACATACACAAATTTAAACAGGTTACTCGGTCAAATAGTGTCTTCAATAACAGCATCACTTCGTTTTGATGGAGCACTCAATGTGGATTTATTGGGATTCCAAACGAATCTCGTTCCTTACCCTCGCATCCATTTTCCACTAATTACCTATGCTCCTGTCATTTCAGCCGAAAAGGCATACCACGAGCAGCTATCCGTACCAGAAATAACAAATGCTTGTTTCGAACCGGCGAACCAAATGGTTAAATGCGATCCACGTCATGGAAAATACATGGCCTGCTGTTTGCTGTATAGGGGAGATGTTGTTCCGAAGGATGTGAATGCAGCAATTGGAACAATTAAAACGAAACGTACAATTCAATTCGTAGACTGGTGTCCGACAGGATTCAAAGTTGGTATTAATTACCAACCGCCTACAGTTGTTCCTGGAGGCGATTTAGCTAAAGTACAGCGTGCTGTTTGCATGATTGCCAATACAACCGCCATCGCAGAAGCCTGGGCTCGCTTGGATCATAAATTTGACCTGATGTACTCGAAGCGAGCTTTCGTTCATTGGTATGTAGGTGAAGGAATGGAGGAAGGTGAATTTTCTGAAGCACGTGAAGATATGGCAGCACTGGAAAAGGATTTTGAAGAAATTGGCATGGATTCTGGAGAAGGCGAAGGAGAAGGTGAAGAATGATTGTTGAGTGGAGTGGAGGTTTACTACTTAAGTATTGTGTATTGTTTTATTCTTATAGTCTGCGTAATGTAAGTTTCAATTTTTGTTTTGTATTTTTAATATTGTATGTATCTTGGATGTTTAAATATATCGATATAAATGTTTACACATTTTGCATTTCTTTTTTCGAAACATATTTTTTTATATAGGAACGATTAGGACTTCTAATGAAAATCTAAATAAAAATATATTTAATTGAGACACATGGAATGCAATTATGAACTTCGTAGTTGTGTGCTTTTATAGCTATGTATTAAAGCACTTATATAGATAGTACCATTAATTAATCTGGTCAAAATATCGATGTTTTTGAGGCAAGAAAGTTTTGATGTACATACATCATGTGTCTAGGTACTGATCTAAATGTTATCAGCCTACTTACTATAAGAGAAATAACATGAGACATGCGTTTGGAGATGTAATTGATTTATAGAACTTGCACTTAAAATGTAAATACAAAATTCAAAATATGTATTTCTACTTTTTTGAGAGAACCATTTTGTATTTTGTTGCCGTATTGCTACTATCATCGATCAGTTGTTAATCTTATAAAATGGAATGTTACATACATTTATCATTGAAAATATTAGAAACTCAAGTGGAGACAAAAAGGCTTTCTATGGATTCCTTCTAATATTTTCATTGAAGAGGTCTGGAAAAATTCTGAATTTCTTGGAAATAGATATTCTAAAACATCTGTTACGGGTCCGATGTTGTATTCCGGGATGTTTGCTGTGATCCATGGAATTTCGCAGTACTAAACATCCTGAGTGGCATCAGTCACGAGTGGTGAATGAAATTCCGTAAGATAATAATTTCAATTGCTGTATTTGCCGGACTGAACATCTCCAATCCCGCGGGATCCAGGTATTCGCTGGATCCCGTAGGATGCTGTATGTAATTAAATCATAAACTAGGCCCACATTTGATGGATTCTAACTGAAGTTAAACAAATTTTATCAAGTCCTTTATTACATTTTTCAAAGAAAATTGAACATTCTTTTCGTAAAACATTAAACATTAGGAGATAAAATAAATAAAACGTAGTTTGTTGGGTTGCTTAATAATTACAAGTTGAAATTTGCACAAAATAGCAACTACTTTGGGCAAGAAATTCGTCCCCGGTACCTTCACCTAATTTTCGTACACTACGAGGGCGGTTCAATAAGTACCCGTCCTAGACATGAAGACACCTTTTTTTTAAAATTTGTTTTTTTATTTTTCAATATAGTCCCCTTTTAGAAAGAATCACTTCTCCCAACGACCCTGCCATTTTTTTTACCCCTCTAAAAAATAAGATTTGTCGAACTCTCCAAAATCCCCCGTCTCGGCGATGACTTCCTCGTTTGAGCTAAATTTCTTTCTCGCTAGTCATTTCTTCATGGTAGGGAACAAGATGAAGTCGCAGGGAGTCAAATCGAGTGAGTAGGGGGTGTGCGGCAGCAAATTCATAACGTAATTCATGCATTTTGGCAACAACAACTCCTGATGAATGTGCCGGTGCGTTATCGTGTTGAAAACGCACCTTCTTTTTCGTCAAATGCGTCCGTGTCTCCTTCAATCTTTTGTCGAAGCGGTCCAATAACTCACTGTAGTATTGTCCAGTGATCGTTCTTCCTTTTCCTAAAAAATCCGTAAAATGATTTCCTCGGTAACAACGTTTGCCAGGCTTCCTGGTCGCTCCTATCAAAAACGGATCTTTGCCCACGTTTAAATTCGTTGAAGCAATATCTAACTGTGGTCGTAGATGGCGAAATGTCTCCATAAACAGTATCCAACTTTGTTTTCATCTCCTCGCATTTTTTCCCATCCAAAAACAAAAAGCGAGTTACCGAACGATACTGCTCTTTTTCCATCTTAGCGAAAATAACGAAGCACGTCTCAGTCGAATGGCTGCCAAATCCAAACTAACCTATCAATCAGTCTGAAATCGTTTTGACGTGGTTTGTTAGATGGCAGCACACGATGACAACACCAATTTCCCTCAGGAACGACCTCTGTCTTCAAACACGGGTACTTATTGAACCGCCCTCGTATGTAGGTAGTACACAGTCAAATTCGTCTTGCTGTAGTTGGCCCCACTTGACCAAAAATCAGTTTCCTCCTCATTCTTGTAAATCTCGCGGCATTCCGCTCATTTTACGACTGAAATTAGCCCCGCATGTTGCATGCGGGAACCCGTTCTCTAATTACAACTCGCACCTACCAATGCATACCGAAGGTTCCTTTAGCAAGAAACGGCAAAACGTTTGAAACTACGAAATTCATTCATGAACCACACAAAACATCTCGGAAAATGATATGCAGTCGATGTACTCTGGCCATAAATGCCTAAAAATTATAATATATTGTGTGTGGTAATTATAATAGGTACAATCACAAAATCTTAAACAAACTTTACTATATAAACCTAAAAATAACGCAACTATGAATCCCATTGCTTCCTATTATTACAATGGATAAAAGATCAGAACCGTAAGAAGGGTTGTAAATGTTTTTTTGACATAAGATTGATGTTGACTTTAAATAATTAATATTATTTACAGTGTTATTTCAGGTTTGATCTTTCACGTTAAAGAAACTACTTTGCGATCAGGGTCATGCCCTTCCTTCCAAATTAAAACGGGTGCCAAAAGTAAATAAGGGAGCATCATGCAAAGGAATTTTTATTGCTTAACCAAGAATACCATAACATATAAAAAGAAATTAATCTTGCCTCAATATTTTCAAAAGATAATGATGGTCTCCAATATTTGAAAGAGTTATTCAGTTATATATTCAGAGTTAATCAAATAATAGTAAAAAAAATTCTTAAATCTTTTATACCTTTATAAATAAAGAAAACTATGAAAATATCATAAAAAAACTAGTCCCAAAATCAAATTGGCAATGTAAAATTGAATTATGTTGCTAAGATACAATAATTCATTAATTATTTATT